CATATGCACTGGGAACAACCCCGAAAATCCTTGATGTTTAAGACACCACTGGTAAAGGAGTTGTTCAGAACCACCAAAGAAGCACATTTTGACATGTGTAATGTAGGGGCCCTCAAGTGCCCAGAAACAAGTCGTCACATCCAGAAGAGCATGGCAGTCCGGACAACATCAACCGAGATGTTCCTAGCCCTCCACGGTCGCACATGTCGACGCGACCATGAGCACCGAGCCATTGCAGGGACTGTCCATGTCAAAGGTGATCGCATGTCATGCAGTGCATACACAGAACGATACACACGCAAGTTCTCGAGATACGTAGCTAAGAACCTCATCAAGATCAAACAACACATGTGTGTTCCAGTTTTGGTCAGTCATGATGACAGTCGACCTGATCGGTCCGATGCACCATGCAAGAGACTTCGCATCAATTCTCCATCTTCGAGCAATCCGAAGAGTCGAATGCCACCAACACCGTTGGAAGTGCTCAGCGGCCATCTAAAGAGACGCCGCATTGACGGAAAGACCACCGAAGGAGAGCTTGCACAGTCCCGAAAAACAGAATTGGAACGACTCATCACAGTGATCAAACCCCGAATTCCAAGAGTAGGCAAAACAGAAATCAAAGACCCTGACTTGATAAATCAATTTCAGAAGATATTCCCAGAAAAGATCATCCGTAGAATCATGGTATGCAAGGGGTCGGATCGAACATTAGCCCCACCCAAAGACATTGTGAAGAACGAAGCACCATATCGCATTGCAGCAATTGTCAGCCGTACCGATGAATCCGTTCGTGTTGAGACCGACTGGGAATTTTGGCAAGAGCTGTCCAATCGTCAAGTGGTCAGACCGTCTCACCCCGCCAGGATCAATATAACCTTGTTTGCCAGCAATAGGGAGCCCGGCAAAGAAGGAGACCAGACTGAGTCCACAAGAGCCGAGCGCACAGTGACCGGTGAGGACCTGCCAAAGCCTCAACATGAAGTCGAAGACAAGACGTCAGGACCAACCCCATCCAGAGTGTCAGCTAACACACCAAGCCAGAAGATAGACCTACAGAGTGCAACCCATGGGAGCCGATTCATGTGTTTGTCCCCAGAAGAAAAGACTTTCCTGATAAAGCTCCATCAAAATTTAGGACACCCAAGTCATGCACGACTAAGTCAGGTACTCCGAGAACAGGGCCACGAGCCATCCTCTTAAGTCAAGGGATCCTCGATATGAAGTGTTCGACATGTCAAAATGAACAAAGGCCCAAAATTCAAAGACCGGCAACCATCAAGGACGATCTTGACTTCAATGACAAGGTAGGAATTGACGGTATCAAATACACAGCTGCCAGCGGGACCCCATATCATTTCTATCACATGATTGATTATGGAACTAATTATCATGTGGCATGTTCATCACCAGGTCAGAGCAGTCAGGACGCCATCGAAAAGGTGGTGACCGGTTGGTTCCAGTGGGCCGGCGCCCCATTGGAGCTACATACCGATGCCGGCACAGAGTTCACCTCTCGAGAGTTTGCCAACATGTTGACTCAATTCAACATCAAAGCAGTCGTCGCAGCACCTGGAGCACACTGGCAGATTGGCAAGGTTGAACGACACGGAGAAATCCTGCAGACCATGCTTCGTAAGTATGAGCACGACTTTCCGATCAAATCATATCAGGACCTCCAAACAGCTTTAGCCCACTGTACTTCAGCAAAGAATGCTTTAAGCCTTAAGCAGGGGTATTCGCCAGACATCCTGACTTTTGGGAAAACAGTGCGAGTTCCAGCCTCAGTAACATCTGACTACAACCTCCCATCCCATTTGCTTGCCGATGAAGAGACTCAAGAGGGAATTCTGTTCCGAAACAAGCTGGCCAGACGTGAAGCTGCCCGCAAAGCTTTTCACATGACAGACAATGACATGTCATTGCGGAGAGCAATCCTGCGAAGAACGAGGCCAGATAGAGGCATGTACTACCCTGGAACTTGGGTCATGATGTGGCGCCAAACGCCAACAACACAGGGATGGTTTGGACCTGCACGAGTGATCCAACAAGAAGGTCAACACTGTGTCTGGTGTAACCACATGGGAAACCTCATCAAGATATCCCCAGAGCACATTCGTGAGATCAGTGAACAAGAGAAAGAACAAATCCCACAGAATCTACACCCAATTCAAGATCTTGAACTAGAACAAGAACCAACAAGGGGTGCGAGAAGACAAACCATCATAGAGACCATAGAAGTACCCGAAATCCCCAATAACAACCAGGAATCAGGACAGTCACAGGGAAGCATTGTTCGACCTCCATCATCCACTCCGGAAGAACAACCAGATCAAGAGCCAAGTGAGGAACCAGCCTCAGGGTCGCCTGATGATGCCTCTGAACAAGCTGCCGAGATAGATCCGGCAGACGTGCCAATACCGACGGACTCAGGTGATGAGCTTGTGTGTGACCACCTGCTGTGTGTTGAAGGTCACGACGAGATCTCAACAGACCCTGACGGTCATGTCGGTTGGAAGTATGAAGCCGCGATAACTGAACAGGACATCAAAGCATGGAAAGAATCAGAACATCCGTCCGAATACCTCCTAGTAGCAACAAGTGCCAAACGTGACCGAACTGAGGTAAAGCTTCATCAACTGTCTCAGGAAGAACAAGAGCTTTTTAGACAAGCGAAAACCAAGGAAATCCAGAATTGGCTTGATACAGGCACGGTCAGTCGCATCTTCAGACATCAGTTGAGCCCGCAGCAAATCTTGCGATGTCGATGGATTTGCATATGGAAACCACTCGATGAAGAAAACGCACAGACAACCGAAGTGAATCAAAAACCCAACCAAAAGACGCACAAACCGAAGGCTCGACTAGTAGTTCTTGGTTATCAAGACCCCCAATTGGAGACGATCCCGAGAGACAGCCCCACTTTGGGAAAACAATCCAAGATGCTTCTACTCCAATTAGTAAGTTCAATGGGATGGACACTGAGAAGCTTCGACATCCGTGCTGCCTTCTTGCAAGGCAAAACGCAAGAAGGTCGAACCCTAGCCATCGAGCCGGTTCCAGAACTCAAAACAGCATTGAACCTGAGAGAGAATCAAGTATGCAAACTCGAAAAATCAGCCTACGGGTTGATAGATGCCCCATTTTTGTGGTATAAGGAGTTGGACCGGACCTTGAGAGAACTGAACTTTGTCCCAGCACCTTTCGACCCATGTGCATACATCTTGTATCAGAAAGATCAACAGATTCCATCAGGGATCTTAGGTGTCCATGTCGATGATGGCCTGTGCGGTGGCGACCAGTTCTTTGACCAGCAAATTGCTAAGTTGGAAGCCAAGTTTCCATTCGGGAGCAAGAAGACAGGTCAATTTACATTTACTGGCGTAGATATCGACCAAAACCCAGATAAAAGCATCGTCATGTCCCAAGGAAAATACATCAGCAAGATTGAACCAATCCATATGAGTGCAAACAGGCGAACATGCCTGACGGAGCCAGTGACTTCCGAAGAGAAACACGGTCTTCGAGCATTGATAGGAAGCCTTCAATACGCAGCCATAAACACCAGACCTGATTTGTCAAGTAGGTTAAGCTACTTACAGAGTGAGATAAACAAGGCAACAGTACAAACTCTGCATGACGCAAATCGGGTCCTTCATGAAGCCAAACGGTACAAAGACACCCATATTCGAATCCAGCCAATTCCCATCAAAGACCTGAGGTTTTTGATGTTCTCAGATGCATCCTTTGCATCAGCCAAGAGTCCGGAAAGCCATACAGGAATGATAATCTTGGCAACTCATAAAGACATCATGGAAAACTATCAGTGCCCAGTCAGCCCTTTGTCTTGGGGGTGTAAGAAAATCCAGAAAGTGGTAACAAGCACCCTATCAGCTGAGACCACATCACTACAAACGAGCTTGGACCAATTATCATGGTTAAGATTATACTGGACCTGGCTTTTAGATCCCAAGACAAACTGGCGACAGCCCCAAAAGGTGTTCCAAAATATCCCACCACCAGTGTCTTCAACCACACACTTAGCACAAATGCTCCCGAAGGCAGTGGCAGTCACGGACTGTAAATCCCTCTATGATCTTGTGACTCGAACCGCCCAACCGAACTGTCAGGAGTTTAGGACACAATTGCAGGCCAGGGCGATCAAAGATCTTCTCTCAGAGGGGGTAACCTTGAGGTGGGTACACACAGGGCCTCACCTTGCAGACTCACTAACCAAGGTAATGCAAAACCACTTCTTGAGATACACCTTGCAACAGGGTCGTTATCAACTTAATGACGAGCTGCAAGTTTTGAAACAAAGAGCAGATCATCGAACGAGAGTGCAGTGGCTGTCATCTGGATGCCCAGCCGACATGAAGCCCACAAAAAGTCTTGAAGATTTTTTGGGAGTGTGAATTTTCAGTTGTGAACCATTCAGCATGTCGAGAGCTCAGCCATCGCACTTCCCTTTCCGAAGCCTTTTCGGGCACGAGTCCGTTGGGTGGTGAGGGTCAGGGCCCTACGAGAGGCCGTTGAGCCATAGCGTGAGGACACGCTCGGTTGCTTGGCGAGGACGCCAATTTCGTTCAGGCAGTGGCGGAGGAAAAGGCCGCTTCTGAGGTGCTGTGGGCACCAGCTGAAGGTCGAAGGGCTACCAGTGTGGGCAATCCACAATGTACATATATATATATAATATGTACATATGTATGTATGTATGTATGTATATATATATATGTATGTATATATGTATGTATTTATGTAATGTAATGTAATGTAATGCAATGTAATGTAATGTAATGTAATGTATGTAGGAATGGAATGGAATGGAATGGAATGGAATGGAATGGAATGGAATGGAATGGAATGGAATGTATGTATGCATGCATGTATGTATGAGGTGACATATATATATATTGACATATCCTGTATGCGGTGACCAGATGAGAGAACCACTTCTATCCGGTCTCCCGCCATTTCTCGTTCTGCGCTTCGGCTCCAAGGCGGAACGAGCGAGACGTCCCGAGCCCTTGGGCTACAGTGTGGGGGGCGCCAGGAAACGTCGGGACGAACACCCGGAAGACGGAGTTCTTAGAAGACCAGGGACGAAATGGACAACGATTAAGGTGACCAGTCTTATTTAAGACGTTGACTCATTCGTATATGCATTAGGAGGGTTTTTGTTCAACTCTCAAATACTCGTGGAATCTTCGAATGTGAGATCTGACATAAAAGATTGCAGTATATTGCAGTCCAACCTGCACCTGTCTACCGGATGGGTTTCACACTCAAACCATGGTCCGATTGCCAAACATTCACCAAATGAGGAGGAGGAAGAAGAGGGAGGAGGAGGAGGAGGAGAAGGAGGTAGTGTAAGCAATTGTCATATGACGTGATGCAACATGCGCATGACATGACTACTAGCCCAGTGTGGACCCGCGAACAAAAACAATGAGACTTTGTCTCATCACATGTTGAGATATTTGGAGTTTGTTTGATTCAAAACTCATACCAAATGGCCTTTCCCTAAGCTGACACACCGAAACTCGCAGGATCACCACTTGGAACTCCTCTCTTTGGTGGTTGGGGCAGCCGGAACCAGTGGCATCTCCATCTGATCCGTGCATCCTTGCCGCAGGTTGACGCCCAACAGTGGTTGGCTCCTCTACCGAGACCAGGATGGGCCGAGCTCCCCGGTGTGGAACGGGTGACGCCACGCGAGCCATGCGTCGGCTCGCACAGCAGTCGCATGGGCGCACGTTGACCAGTCGGTGACCCATGGGTTCCCCTCCCTGCAACCAACATGGACAGTGGACCACGTACCTGTTTTAAGAGTTTGCTTTAGTATGTGTTTTGTTGGTTTTGGTGTGGGTGAGTAGGGTGCGAAGTGCTGTTGGCCTTTCAACGGAGAAACGAAGCCGCAGAAAACTTTCCAGCCGTCTTGAGGGCAGCCACAACAAAGACACTAATTAACAGTGGATATCCATGGCTATCCAGGAGAATGCCACATGGTTCTAGACGAAGCAGTGTTTCCAACTTTGCAGATGTCATTATTTTCTCACTTCAAAGGCGGAAAAGAAACGAAAAGAAAAGACATTGCTTCACCTATCCCATAACATCTCATTGCCCCATGTTTTGAAGACAATTGCATACTCCTTGGTCACTTGGTTGTTCCTCATGGCTGTGCATTTGTAGATGTTTGTAGTGATATGTGTTCAACGTTTATTTCTGCATTGCCTCCACTAATTAACCTTCAACCGTTGCTATTGTGGTGGTTCAAAACTATCACCGACATCGTTGGTTTGATCCTACTTTGGATAGGAACTGCTAGGCCATTAGCAGGGTATCGGTATGCATTTCAATGTTGATGTTCTGCAATGTTGTTTCAAAACGCCTGGCATCCATAATACAGGAACATATAGTAGCCATGCTTGCATATTGTTTTGTTGACAATAGTATACCAGTATATATATATATATGCTTTATGATATGTTATGCATTGTTATGCTCTAAGCTGTTTGGGGTTCCTGTTTCTCTTTGGCCCAGACTCTGATTTGTCCGTACCATCACCACCCTCGCACCCTCCTTCCCAAGAGTGACCACCAGGAGATGAATGGCGGACTGAAGTGGCAGGAGGCGGACCCCCGAGCGACTGACGGAAGTCGTCATCACTTGTGGTCATCGAAATATCGTCAATATGAAGCGTATACGAAGTGCATACGAGGATCAATGGAGGATCAAAGGAGGATCCCCCTTATGAAGCATTATAGTGCTGCTTTCTGGAGGCTTTGATCTTCAATCCTCATGGTCTTTGATTCATGGATCGACCGGCTTGTGGCCAGTGCCAGAGGCTGCAGGTGTCGTTGGACCTGCAGGGCTCCACATATGGTAGGGAGGCCGTAGGGGCCACCAGATGCCCAGGTGAGGGGTAAAGATGTCTTCGGTGTATGGTTTCATTTGGAATTGGTATCATTATAGATTGGTGCTTTTTTGTTCTTAATTGTGTCTACCATATGTTCAGTGTATGGTGTCGCTCGAATTTGTGAAGCAAAAGGGTGATCAAGGTTCATGATGTCATACCTTTTGAAAGGTACCCCCAAGTCCTCATCACCATGGTGATTCATCCGTCCATGACCTCATCCCTTCCCTCTTCCTCCCTCCAACCAGTTGTTCTGCCAGACCACCCCCTGCCAACGCGAACCTGTCGCGTTGACCGAGGTGCTCCGAGAAGGTCTGCACTCGGCCCAGCCAGCCTTGCTGCGGGAAGCAGAACAGGTGCTCCAGGAGGTGGATCGAAGACCCAAGCGATGCCGGTCGCGACGGGAGCGACCGTGTTTTTTTGTTTTTGTTTGGTATTTGGACCTTTTTGAAGGCTACTGTCACTTGAACCAACAGAGTTTTAGTTTTTTCCACTTCAATTCAATGTTTTTTTCTTTGGTGGTGTTGGCACATGTTGGGAAAACCCAAACCATGCCTCCAGTAGTGACCAACGACTCTCGCCGTCCAGTCCTTGTCAAATGGTGATTGCCAGGGAACATGAAAAATCAGGAAGAAGATCGACCCAGAAGTCAAGTTACTGTATGGCTCACTCCGGTCTTTTGGAAGATTGGGAGGCGCTGTGATATGGCTATGGCCCAAGATGTTTCTCAATGTTTGTCCATCTACCAAAGGCTTTACGGCCAGCCATGAAGGGAGCCATATTGTCTTGGGTTTTGTATAAAGCCAACGAGCAGAAGCTCAGAAGAAGCTCTTTGCATACCGCCTTTCAGGGTCAGATGTACATACCCAGCAGGTGGACTGAGGATGCCAGCGACGCCTTGAGAGAGTCAACTTGGATTGAGGAAAACATCCATAGGTTCATCAAGATACTTTGGCTTCTTCTTTGGGACAGAGTTGAGTGGAGAATACTTCTTGGATTGAGTGGGTTCTGGACAACCTTGACATGAAGACTGTCCTTCACTCTACAAGTGGTGTACTGTATACTGCCCAAAGATAGATCCATAGATGCAATATCATCGCTCGGTTGGCCAACAAGCGAATGGGTTTACCTATAATACATATGTATAATATGTTCTAATATATATATATAATATACATAATATTATATATATGTATATGTGTATATATATGTATTGTTCTTTTGCTCAGACCTCAAAGAATGTCCCTGTTTAAGTTGTATTCATTGAAGACAGACATCTCATGCAGATATAAGACAAATGACTTGTTAACAGCGGACCCGGCCTGCCAGGAGCACGAGACTCTGACGGCCTTGGAGATTTTGGATTGAAGCCAAAATAGCCGGAACACTGTCCAATGTCAGTCATTGTTTTGCTTGACGTTTAGGAGATGATCTTCATGTTGGATTTCATGATACTGCTGAGAGACGCGTTCGGATGCGTTTCTTGGAAACACCGCGTCTCTCAGTGTCGGGAAGCCGCGATGTCCAACATCTTTGAGTGGACGACTTCTTGGCTGCTCCAAGGGACGGCAAGGGTGATCCAACGGATGAGAAGGGAACACCTGGTCACCTGGATATCCTATGTATATATATATAACATTATCTATATATCCCTAGGGCTCAAACCACCTTCTGAGGACATGGTTGGAGCCCTAGGGTTATGTATATATATATCCCAGAAGCTTAACACAAGTAGAAGGTTTGAGATCGACGATCGGGGCCCTTTGGATCGAGCTTCTTCTCTTGAAAGAAGCGCTGCTTCTTTCAGAGAAGTAGAAGTGATATGTGCGCTTTAGTATGTAGATTTGCACTTGTGTGTGTGTGTGAACTAGTAACGCTTGTTTGGATTTGATTCATGACCTTGGATTTATGCGTGCTAGCTGCTACCTTGATGTTGTGCGGAAGTTAGAATAAACTATCAGGCAAATTCAGGTTTCATGATACCCACCAAAAACAAACAACATAGAAGCAGCTGGAACTGGCTAGAGCAGTTCTGAAGAAAATCGATTGTTTGATCACCTTCGGGCAGTTTGTTTGTTTTGCAAAAGGTAGCTGAAGGCGAGTTTTCTGAACGCCTGCCTTGGCAATTTGAATTAACAAGCCTGCAGGTCTCTACAAACATCCACAAACCTCACTTTGGTGGGGCCTAGGTCTAGGTTGTTGTCCCCCCGCCCCCGGAAGAAGGACCGATGTTGCCTTCTGCGATGCATGTGGTGAACAAAATGTTCAGGCTTGTTGAAGGGTTCCATCCAACGCCCACGTGTTTCTTCTTCAATAGCTTTTGTGAACCATCGACCATGGAAAACAGCCAAAGAAGTGTCCTTTCGCCAAGTAGTTTTCAAGCGGATGTGGAGGCCCTGGGGCAATTGGAATGTGCCACTTGCAAGTGGCCCGATGTTACCTGAGGCCGTGACATGCCCGAAGTATATGTCGATGTGTGGGAATACCAACGGATCCTTCAAAGATTTTAAAGGGGTTTTGAGTGCATTCCATTTATCCCATGTGCCAAATCTCCTGGGCGCTTAAAACGAGTGCTCAGTCCATCCCAGCGAATTCATACCGGGTAGCGCTGCACGCTGCCGCACCGCTGTGCACAGCTGTCGGTTGAGGGCTGCCAGAGACATGAATTGACTGTGCATGGTGGATGTAAGATGTAAGGTGCGGTGGGAGATGACAGTCGCATTTGGTTGGAAGGAACCCGGTTGGAAGGTAATTGCCTGATGTACCTAGGGTTGGAAGCCATTGGAAGCTACTGCGATGATAACTCTTGTCTTTTAAGTTGTCAACTTGTTGTCAACCTCCTTTTGAACATGTTCATGATTCTACCAACCAACCAAGTTGCAAATTCCACAGAGTCCCCAGCCATGACCTGAAGACAGTGTCACCTTCCAAACCTGAAGCTTGCAGTCATTTGCAGCCCGAAGGCGTCCAACGAGAGGTATAAGCTTCCGTTTGATGCGAATCAAAGAGACGCAAAAAAGCTCCCCCGAAGCTCAAGTCCTGTGTTTCTTTTTGACTCAGCCCAATCGAAAAGACCTGAAGGTGGGGATTGTTTCATCAAGTTTGACCAAATTGCTCATGTGGCGATCCTGACCATATGCTGGAAGTGGAGAAGCTATCAACTCAGTCTGGAGTTTATGACCTTGTCGCAGCAGCCATTCGCAAGCCGCAAGCATGTGTCGCAGCACTGCGGTTTCACGAATCAAGACGATTCGTAGGTTGATCCAATGGAGAAATGTTGCTGCAGGTCAGGCTGGACTGGAAGTCTGTCAGAGATGCTGGCTGCTGGCTTTGTTAATTAGATATTATATGATTATATGATATGAGTCCCTTACTTCCCTTAGCATGCACAAGACTGACAAGACTGAACAAATTATTTAATCAACGCATATGTTTTATCATATGTTGTATATAATACATATATATATATAATACATATACATATTTTATATATACACACATTAATATATATATATGTACATGCATATTTGGAATAACGTGCTGTTGGCAAGCAAAGTGGAACTGAAGCCTGCGATCGGACTTGGCTATCTTTTGGCTCGAGCTGTAACTATGCAAACATGTTTTCAGTGAACATGTTCACTCTTGAAGTGCATCAACAAAATGGCTCCAGACCAAGTCAATTTTCTGCAACTTGCATCTACTGTGGGTTGAGTTGGTAGAGCCACGAACCAGGAGAGCTGTTGACAAGCGAAGCCCAGAGTGCTTTTCACCACCAGCTTGTGCGCCAGGAACCATCGTGTGATGTGAGGTTTGCCAGGAACCATCTGGTCAGGGAGTCAGGCACTTAATTGGTTGAGGTCACGAACCTGAAGGCAGACACGTAGAACCTGAAAATGGAATGCCTGGAGAACTCTGGATGACATGTTTCCCCAAATTGGTGGTTTTGAGGTTCCAAACGTTTTCGTGGGTATCGTGTAATCAGAAGCTGAGGATCATGCTTGGGGAAGGCGTGTCCTTGTCCGAGAAGAGCCACGGTTCTCGACCTTTCTCACTGTCGACCAGTGTGATGTTTGCATATGTGTACCCATTAGTCATCTTCACCCAGATCATCCATGTATGGAATATATGCTTACATGGATGCCCCTGAAACCATCACCACCCCAATGTAGATACTGTTGCTATGGCATAGATGGACGATCTGGGGGTGGTAAGATGTGATCAGATATGCCCATTTATCATTCACAAACGTCCACCCCGAAGATGGCAAGGAATGCGATCGGATATGCCTCTCATCCACCAAATACATGACTAGTGAGACCTTCTGGGGAACGAGGGAATGGATGGGAATGGATCCAAAGGAATCTCATTCCCATTCATGCCCTCCTTCCCTCTCAAGTCGAGTCTGCTTTCAGCTTTCTGAAATCGTACCCAGACACTCCATGGGACTGGTTTCACCAGCGGCCGAGATGCGGCGCCGGTCCGGTCCGCCCCGAGGGAATGCAGTCAGCCCCACGAGCCGGTCAGGCCGGGTTTCCGCACAGAGACGGGTGACGGCACGCCGCCGTGGATAAAGAGAAACCCAACAACTTTCGGGTCTTGGTGTTGCCATGTGCTAGTTTGATTTGGCTTTGTAGTCCTTTTCTGACAACAGTATAATATATATACATACTACTAGGAACAAAAGGCATCGCTACTAGTAACAAGAAGCTACTATATATAACTACTAGTTGCTCCTGGTCATCGCTACTAACTAGTAACAAAAGGCATCGCTACTGGAAGCAAAGACGCGGTAATGTCATGAATGGTCTTTCAGGGCCATGTTGATCGCTCCACGATCCGATCGGCTCCGGTCACCCGACCTGGAACAAAGCGCTCCACCCCGTTTGGTCACCTGCGCGACCGGTAAAGTGTCCAGATCTGTGGACTTGAAGCGGACTTGGAATGGCACCGGGCCTGGCATGTACACAAAATACACCCGTATATACCTAGTGAAATAGTATATATATACTTAAATATATAGCATATAATATGACTTCTATGTGATGACTAAGAAGTGACTGATATGTATTTATGCAACTTTAAGATGACTGTTATACTTAAATATGACACTGTTTCGGTGACCCTCTGGGTGAGCTGAGTGTTCTTCACGAACTCCGGGTATCTGTGAAATAGTGTACAAATGTGTGCTCAAACGAACCGGTTGCTATAGAAATTAGAAAGCCATCTTGTGCAGTGAGCAATCAAGAAAGGCTTCAGCTAGCTGCGAGTTCTCCTTGCTTATTAGCAAACATGTGTTTGGTTTGGCTTTCATTTGGATCTCGAAGTTCATTTGGAGGACCATCCTGTCGAAGTGACGGAAGTCGAGACTTCGTTCTAAGTTCTGGCCCAAAATGTCAGATTCAAGTGATGACAGCCACAAGTATCACATAGCACATGATGGGCTTGCCATGTTGGTAGGTTTTCAATATCTTTCAGCGTGGAAGTGACAAACTTATAGCACATATAGAAACATCTCACCAAATCAGCCTGCTTGAGACAATTCTTTGCTAAGCCTTTTCAGAATAAAACAAGTCCTCACCCACACGATTCCCTTTGTTCTTAGTCATCCGGAGAACTGAGTAGTACAGTATGTTGCGCATGAATAGCCTTCATGTTCACGAAGAAATGAGGAAGTTCCGAAGGTGGTGTTTCAAGGTGGTGTGTTTGTTAAACCTCTGACTCCGCCAAGTCCTTTGTTTCTCCCATGCTTTCCCCTTCATTTTCGACCCCTCCCCCTGCGCTCTTTCGTCCGAAAGCGCAAGCGCTCTGTGCGGGCCGGCACGCCTCTTCTCATGTTGCGAGCCGTGAGCGATGATTCCGCGCCCACCAGGCCAGGGCGGATTTGTTGGGAGACGGAGAACGTCCAGAGCGGTTCTCCAACGAATAAAGAAACACACGCAGAGTCCTCGGTGGTGTTCAGCTCTAAAAAGACCCTGAAGAGTTCAACTGGGTGTTTTTGGGGAGTTCTGGTACTTAACAAGAAGCTACGAACGTAACAAAGGGCATCGCTACTAGCAAGAAGCTACGTGAACGCAGCTCCTGGCATTTCTACAAGTAACAAGAAGCTACTAGTATTTGTAGCTGTAGTTGTAGTTGTAGTTCTACAGTATATATAACACCTTGAAATAACTGTCCAAAGTTTCGGAGGCGACGAGGCGAAAGAATTTGGATTCGAAGCGGATTGAAGTCTGGTAAAACCTTGGGGGCTGGCTTGGTCTCCCAAAGGTTTGGACACTCCCAACTCTTTGAGGCATTAAGAAAGGATCTGAAAGGATCGGATAGTCATGTATGTATCATGATTGAACGGATTGCGAGAGAGAGAGAGAGAG